GCATTCTGAACAGACACAACGTTAGATGCAGATCGTAGGAGAGTTATTTTATACTAGCTTCATAGGACCGATACCTGTGGAGAGTTGGTTGATGTTAGCGGCTGCAAGTTACGATGCCGTAAACGACCGACGCACTTGAAAGTCCCTCCCAGCTCATCCTCCTGTTCCAGAACAATCGGGTCGAACGGGAATTCATCGCTTCGAGCCTCGAGAAGATGCTTGCAAGTGACAAGTCCAGCTGGCCCAGCGCCAATAACAACGACGCGAAGCATACCGGTATCGTGGTCGACCGCGACGCGCGTAGACGGTGAGGGACGTCTCAAGGTCGATCGCCACCTCATCGACGACCACATCGATCGACTTCACCTACGTTCTCAGACGCAGTGATGGCGTCCTAACGACTCGGATTGTCCAATCGCTTTGCATAGCTCTCATCGGTGCTTGATATAGTCGGCTACTGCGAGGAACCGGCAGGATGTCGACCTATCACACAATCCCACCGTTGAGCCTCTCACCGGAGCCCGTGTCGGCCCTCGCTTTCGACCCATTCTCGGACACGTTATGGTCGGGCTCCAATTCCGGAATCGTTTCGTGCTACAATGGCCTAGAACCCTCCGAGGTTCGTTATCCTCTGACGGGCAATCCAACTCCACCCCCGGGCATCCAAAGAATCATCGTCACGGACAAGGAGATTCGGAGCCTGTGCAGCGCCGGAGTGGGCGGTAGAACGCGTGGCGGCGCGAGCCGGTGGTACTATAGGTACGTTGTTCCTCTAGACCACTCAGAGGAGTACTAAGAGATTGATCAAGGTCTATGCTGCCCTTGTCCACGTTCACGAGTCACCCGACAGCATCAACGGGACTCCTACTTGCGACGGCGAGCGCGATTCAGGAGCTGTCCCTGCCTGTCGAAGTCATATCTCGCCAGATCCCCACAACGGCGCCGATAACCCAGATGCGGACTTCTTCTACAGGTATCTTGATTACAGGTGCTACGGATGGCTTCTTGCGTACCTATGACCTACGTCAAGCTCGGGGTATCGTGCACAGCACGGCAGAGGTCAAGGCTCACAATGGTGCTGTTCAATGTCTGGAGACAAGCGGAAACTTCACGTTCTCCGTCGGGCTCAGCATGAGGTGCGTGCGTGCGTTGTATGCGCCCTCAGCGAACTGATCATAGGATAGACAAGGCAGAGCATTTCCAGAGCCCATGGTGAAGCTGTACGACCTGCGAAACCTTCGACCGTTATCGCCCATCCCCTTCACATCCCCGGCATTCATCAATGTTCATCCTAACCGTTCCACCATGATATTCATGGCATCAGGGACGGGCCTTGTCCACAGCATTGATATCAGTAACCAGAATGACAATGGAGAGTTCCATCAGGTTCGAAGCATGCACTCCTGTTGAGTTCATTTCTGAACATCAAACAGCTTGATATTGCGTCGTATTTGACGACGAGTGCGATCTCCGCCAACGGCACGTACTTGGGTTTTGGAGATGCCGAGGGTCTCGTGCACTTGATCACATCGACCGCGGAGGATGAGCGTGTACCTTTCAATGGCCACAATGGCATGCCTGGCGAGGTCCCTGACATTCCTGAGCCGCTTCCTGAGATCCATTGGGAAGATGACACGTGCGTCTATATGCTCGGTAGCTTGGTAGCGCATGCTGATGATGAAACAGACCACTTAATATGATTGGAATGCCCTATTGGAACACCCCACTTTTGTCAAGATTAACAACCACATTCGCCCCAGGGGTCGAACTACTTTATCCGCCTCCAAAGATTCCTGCTCAAGTATTGTCGTCGATGAAGGTCGTCGATTTCGTTGGTTGGGCATCCTTACCTCGCGAGCTGAAGGGCCGGCGAAATGTGGTGGCGAAGAAGGAAGAGACCAAGCAAGGGAAGTTCAAGAGCGAACGAGCGAAACGAGGAGCTATTGAGGCACGTGTTTAACGCCGAGACTGCGCGTCAATTGCTGACATATTCCGGCCAGGCATCGTCGCCCATTACAGATGGGCAAGATGACCAGATCCCCAAGCACTACCGCAAGGTAGACATCGAATACTCACATTTCGGTGTCGAGGACTTCGACTTCGAGTACGTCTCCATGTTTGTAGAGTGTGGTACGGGCTAATCCAGTACAGTCGGTACAACCGAACGCCATACAGTGGATTGGAAACCCATATTCTGAATTGCTATACCAACGCTTTGCTGCAGATGCTGTTCTTTACCGAACCCATCCGCAAAGTTGCTCAGTCCCACATTGCATCGCCCTGTCCTAGGGAGCAGTGTCTACTTTGTGAGGTCGGCTTTGCATGCAAGAATCTGGACGATGCAGAAGGTGTAAACTGTCATTCGGGCAACTTCTGCAAGGCGCTCAGTTCGTTCCCGCAAGGTAGGTCACATTCAATCCTCCTTAAGCTTTATTGACCGTGTCTAGCCAATGCGCTGGGTCTGGTCGAGTCGGACTATCAGGACAATACGACGGATTACGGCACTCTCATTCAGACTTTCCAGCGCTTCCTTCTCGATCAAATGACGACCGAATCAGACAGGAAACCAGGCAAGAACCCGGCACTGTGCGAGGACCTGCGCGGGCATCCTTTGACATCTTCCCCTGTCACCCAATTGACTGGGCTGAACACAACCACCGTAGTCACATGTCTTCAATGCAGGGCGACGAGCACGAAAGAGGGCATTTCTCACGTCGTGGATCTCGTCTACCCGCGGAAGGTAAGGCGTGCAAATATTAACTGAGCCGGGGCTGACATTCGTTCAGGGTCTGTCAAACGAACCATCCCCAGCGAATGATTTCCAGTCAATTCTTTCATCATCTCTCACCCGCAATATGACGTACAAGGGTACTTGTCCAAGTTGCCGAAATGTCACAATCAGCGGGTCCAGGCGTGTACTGCACGGGCGCAGTCTGCCACCAACACTGGCCATCAATGCGGCTGCACAGTCGCCGGACAACGCCAGCTATTGGGCAGATGGACGCAAGGGCGAGAGATTCTTGAAGAGCAAGGTCACTGCCAAGGTGGAGAGCATTGTAGATGAGGGAAGCGAGGCGGTCGATGTCGAGGTGGAATACGAGCTCCGAGTATGTCGGAGCCCACTGTCACGCACTCCGTCTTATCTTTTGTTACAGGGTTTGATTTGTCAAGTCAAGACCGACAAGGGAACTTCCCATTTAGTGGCTCTCATCAAAGGTACCAGTTTGGACAGAAGATCACGAGTCGAAGACTGACGTGCAACATCCTTAGTGCCCGACAACCAAGCCAGAGAGCCCACCGACAGTCCTTGGTACATCTTCAACGATTTCTCTGTGCAGAATATACCGGAGCGCGACGCTCTGAGCTTCCCGGGAACATGGAAGGTCCCGACCATCTTGTGGTTTGAGCGAACGGACAAGGATGCCGTCATTGATCTCAGCGTTCTCCCCATGAAAGTGGATTCTACCATTCTCACTGAGGACATTTGTCTGTCGTGGTATGCATATCGCTTATCGGGGTCACTGCGATACTGATTTTGTGTGGAGGCATCGCGATCCAACCAAGATCATGCATGACATTCTTGGCTGGAACGAGATCCCGACCCCTGGTACGTTGGTCGCGATTGACACAGAGTTCGTTCAGATGCAAAAGGTATGATGCCGCAACACAGCAAATGTTAGTCCTAATCTGGTTGCAACGATAGGAGGAAGTGGAGGCGCGATCAGATCAGTTCCGAAAGGTTCTGCGACCCAACCGATTCTCCCTGGCACGCGTGTCAGTGGTTCGAGGTGACGGTCCGAAGGAAGGCGTACCGTTCATCGACGATTATGTCCAAATTCTTGAGCCCATTTACGACTACGTTACCCAGTTCTCCGGCATTGAGCGTGCGTGCATCTGTCTGTCTTCTGATGACGTGGTCTGATGCTATGCGTTTCAGCTGGTGACTTGGACCCTGCCGTGTCTAAGCACACCGTTGTTCCGTTGAAGACTGTGTACCAGAAGATCAGATTACTTGTTGACCTTGGTTGTATATTCGTGGGACATGGTCTTGCGCAGGATTGGCGGATCATCAGTAAGTTGTACAGCCAGGATCTGATCGGACGTTCTTAACATCCGGCAGACATCTTTGTTCCCCCAGATCAAGTCATTGACACGGTATCCCTATACCATTTGAGGAACAAGTCTCGCAAGATCAGCCTCCGTTTCCTAGCATGGTTCCTCCTGAAAGGCAATATCCAAACCGGAAATCACGACTCCATCGAGGATGCTCGCACTGCATTGATGCTGTACAAGGCGTACATGTTACTGGAAGCGGAAGGCAAGTTTGATGAGCTCCTGGATCGGCTGGCATCGGAGGGGAGAGAACTCGTGCGTGATACTTTCTGCCTTTTGGAATAGCCTCGTCAGCTGACGCGCGATCAGAACTTCAAAGTACCGGAGGAGGTCGCAGCACCTGTCCCTCAGTCCTCAGCCCCTACTATCACAGCAGCCGGAGGTATGCCCGAGGTGATTTCTGCCAATCCCACACGGCAGAGCTCTCCCCAAATCCCCCGCAACCAAACCGCGAGTCCCAACTCGTCCTTGTCACACAAGGGCGGTGCTTTTCCCACACCGCCTCGATTCCGCTCATCGACCGCCTACGGAACACATAAGGTGCTGATAGGGGAGCGGGACCGCACCCCACCCCCTCGCACCCCACCGCCGCCGCCGCGGTTCTCTTCTCATCCTTATGGAACGCGTACGGTCTTGTCGCCCAACAATCGGACGCCCAGGAGTAAGCAACCAAGCGAACAGTAGCAGCAATGTACAACAACCAAGGCGCACGTGTAGTCTAGTCCGCTTTTCGCATGCTATGTATGGTTTATGGGCGCCAGCTGGAATGAATTATTTTACGTACGGCCGGGTATTACGGATTGTTTGACAGGATTCCGGAGACTGTCTCGGTTATCAGCCAGATTGTAATGGTCATATAACTTGGTAGCGGTGAAAGGGTAGAATGCAGCAGGGTGGCGCAGCGGAAGCGCGCAGGGCTCATATTTCTTGAAACCCTGAGGTCACTAGATCAAGACTAGTTCCTGCTAAGCATGAATTTTTTTTGTCGATTTGCGGCGTGCCTTTCACGTGACCTGACCCAGACACGTGCTCCGACCTGGGGATGGACGTCGCGTCGGTCATTGCGCGTCACCTCTCAGGAGAAGACGCATCACGATGCCTGCCATGCCTCCTGTGCACGTACAGGAGGCATTCACCTCTGCACTGTCTCTGTTCAAGGCGGGAAAGCTGGACGATGCGCTGGCTGGCTTCACTGCGGTACGTGGGAAGGTTCACTCATCTTTGGCCCCGCTGATGCTGTCTCATCCACAATCAGTGCATCGAACGCGAGCCAAGGTCTCATCAACTATTCGATGCGCGTGCGGCGACCCTCGAGAGGCTGGGAATGCACAAGGAGGCACTGAAAGATGCGAGGAAGGTCGTCGAGCTTTCTCCTGAGCAGCCCAAGGTGCGCAATATCCGCAAGACTGCTCCATCGCCTAGGGACGCCCCTGTCTCACGAGGCTTTTAAAGGGCTACATCCGAGCTGCCCGCCTCTTCCTACGACTCGGAAAGATGGAGCGCTCTATAGACGCATGCAATATGGCCGAGGAACGACTACCAACATTCGAGAAACGACGACGTGTCGAGCTAGCGGCGATTCGAGCTGAAGCTATCGCTGCAATGGAAGCCCGGGATACTGCCCTAACATCGCTGATGTGTCACATGCAGAAGCTACCGTACGAGCTCCTCAGCATTGTTTTCGCAGAGTGGATGGAGGAGGATATCGCTGCACCAGTCATCGCGTCGCACGTATGTCACCGCTGGCGGGAGACCGCGCTGTCGATTTCAAGGCTATGGTCGACTCTCATCCTCACACGACATAAACCCGAATTGAAGGCTGCCACCTGGCTGAAGCGATCGCATTCTCGATGCACTGACCTTCGAATACGCAACGACTTTTCGCTTGCGGCGGACCGACAGGAGTGGTTCACCGATCTGATTCGAATTGTTGGGCACGGCAATCCCATTCGTCTGGACTTAAACATTCCTCAAACTCTCCGGGATACGATATTCGGCAACTTGCCCGCACCAGCGGTCGACAAGCTGCAAGAGCTGAGTCTTCACGTATCGCTCAAGAACCCACAGGGCAGCAGCAGCTTCAGCCTCCCAGCATTCACATCTCTGCGGTGCCTCGAGCTGGGAGGTTATGTTCGCGTCCCGACCGAACTCGCAAGTCGGACGCTAGAGGTACTTGTGCTCAAGTCCATATGGCCAGCTGCAGCACCAGCAGCCATGTATCGCCGACTCATCTCCGATCTGCCCAACCTGCGGACACTGTCACTTAAGAGCCCAATCCCCTCGTCCGGGACGGACGTCTCTGGAGATCCGGACGAGGCGTTAGTCCTCCCCAACCTGGAGAGCATGGAGCTCCTGGGCCCTGGTAACTGGCTCTCCTTCGCGGAGAATATGGAAGTCCCCTCGTTACAGGCCCTACGCATGGACAACTGCAGTCGGACGAACGCCGCCGAGCTCCTCTCAACGCTGAAGATGAACGATTCTGCGCTCACCGAAATCTCCCTCTCCGCATGTGGCCTGCCCGAGCGCGGGCTGCGCGAGGCCCTCCCCCGATTTACGAACCTCAACAAGCTCCAGATCGTGCGCAGCGCAGAGCTCAGCAATGCGCTCATCGAGGATCTCGCCGAGAAGCCGCTTTGGCCGCAGCTGCAGCACGTCAACTTTTCGCACAGTCCGCGCATCACTGGCAGCCCACTTCTCCGCCTCGTCCGCTCGCACCTGCCTCCTCCTGACACCGAACCGATCGACATCGATATCGGAGAAGCGAAGCCGGTGCAGACGAAGATCCTGCCTATCAAGTCTATGATCATCGATGGATGTCCGAAGGTGGACCACGAGCTCGCTCAGAAGATGGCCATACTCGTGTCTGACTTCAGTTGCGTGTATATGACCAAGGATCAGTCCACGAAGCGGCGACGGGGTGATCCGTGAGGTGGGTCCGGGGCTAGTGTATGCTCATCGCAGTGTTTCTGTGCTTGATACCCTTGTGCGCCTATTACACATCCTGTATCATCATTATCATACCATGCTGTACAATTGAGACCGAGTCGACGCGCGCGTGTACATATAGTAACGCGGGTATTGGGGTATCTAGTAAGATCACAGAAGACGCTTTACAGTCAGTTCTATGAGGGCCTGATATCCCTGCCCATGCCCGCAGCCATGCCCATAGTCATGGCGTTGCTCATATTGCTGCCCATGCCCGGTTCCGAAGCAGGCACGAAGACGGCCTTGTTTCCGAACGCAGCGACGCGCTGGATCTCGAGCCGCTTGAGCTCGACCTCCCTCGCGAACGCGTCCTCGATCTCCGCCACCGCCCTCGCCTTCATCTTGATCGCGTCCGCCTCTGCCGCGGCCTGGATACGGATCGACTGCGCCTTGGCCTCGGCGGCGATGGCGGACGCCTGGGCGTCGGCCTTGGCCTTGGCGACGACGGTGTAGGCGTCGCCGTCGGCGATGGTCTGCCGCTGCCTAGCCTGCACCTGGGCGACCTGCAGCTCACCCTCCTGCTTCTTGACGCGGTTCGAGTTCTCCCTGTCCACGTTGGCTGGCGCAGCGTCAGCACGCGTCCTCCAACGTACGGGAGTAAGGGCGACTCACCAGCCTCAACCTGCGCCTCGAGCGCCCTCCGCGTGAGGTGGTCCATGGTGGCGGCGATCTCGCCCTTGAACTTGCGGTCGATGACGGCCAGGTCCTTGAGCACGATGCCGTACTCGAGTGCGGCGAGGTGCAAGTCGTCCATCGCGCGCGCGCGGAGCGAGTCGAGGAAGGCCGTCGAGTCGCCCGGGTGCTCCTCCATCTCCGGGCCGAGCGTGCGGGACTTGACCATGGATGCGTATTCGACTGCACGCGAAGCCACATCAGTACTTCGCCCGCGGGCCAGGGCGTGTGGGTGTACGTACGATGCGCGACGATCTGGGTGAGGATCGACTGGCTCTTGTCCCGCAGCGCGTCGTACGGGCTGACATAGCCGTGCCCGGTGAGCTTGAGCGGCTCCTCGAGCTGCCACTTGAGGTAGATGGTGAGCGACACCGGCACCTGGTCCTTCGTCATGATGTCCTTGGCGGGCATCTCGATCTGGCACTCGCCGCGGGTGAAGAGGGCGCGGTAGGTCACCTGCGTGCGGGGGGTCAGTGCGCGTCAGAAAGGAGGGAGAAAAGGAGAGGGCGAACGTTGGGGTTGGTGATCACGTGCTGCCCGGCGGGGATCTGCTGCAGCTCGTCCCCGCGCTGGAGGATGGCGCAGTTGTTCGCGGGGATGTTGAGGCTGCCCAAGGGGTCAGTACCACCTTCACCAGGGCTGGAAAACGCGCGTACAAGGTGGCGACGACGTAGTCCTGGTGCTTGGCCTTGTCGCCCCTGCCCAGGGCGCTGGACATGTGCACCTCCTGCATGTGCCCCAGCACCTGCCCCGTCATGTTGTCCTTGATCGCCGTCTGGAGATGGGTCTGGTCCACGACCGCGAGCACGTCATAGCTCCCCTGCAGGGCGAGTGCGACGAACCCGCCAGACCTAATAACGAAGATCTGGTTCTGCGGGTCCGAGACGACCGCAGCCTGGTTCTGCGACACCTGGACGCACGTCAGGCCCTGGAACTGGATCACCGCGTCCGACACGCCCTGGCGGCCCTCGAAGCGCCTCGCCCACCAGTTGCGGAAGGGGAAGCCGGCGTACTTCCCGGGCCTGGTGAGCAGCTCCGGCCAGCCCGCGCGGTTGATAAGCCCGATTTGCCCGGGGGAGATCTCGCGCCCGAAGTCCATAGGCGACATCTTGCTCAGGAGAGGAGGGTGCCCGGCGGCGATGATTTGCGCGTTGAGCTTCTCGAGAGCGGGGATCAGCCCGTCCTCGTGGCACCGCACGAAGAAGGGACGGTGCTGCGAGCCTGGTCAATGTACGGCTGGCTGCACAGATCGGGAGGGAGGACGCACCTGGTCGAGGTACTCGATCGTGTTCACGAAGGGCACGAGGGCGGGCGGCGCCGCGGCGTCGGCCTCGGGAGTGGGGATCTTGCCCTTGCTGTTCCCGGAGGGGGAGGAGGAGAAGCCCTTCTCGCCCGAGAGGCGCAGGTCGTCGTTCGCGCCCATCACGGTGGTGCCGTCAAACTCTGAGCGGGCGTCCATTGCTGTCTCGTGGGTGAAGGGCGAATACGAGCGGGGTGGGTACGGGGTGGTGGTGGTGGTGGTGGGCAGTCAGAAAGCAGAAGCAGGTCGTTGGCAGAAAGAGACGCTCCACGGCGGGCGCCTTATATGCCTTGCGCGGGCGAGTGGGTCAACAGGTGGCAATGCGTTGATCCATGGCTATTCCGGGCAGGCCGAAATCCGGCGGGAAATGGAGCAACGTTTGGCAAGGCCATGGCCTACTAAGGAGGGTGGCGATCGGTCGTGTGCAGGCGCAGTGCCCACCGCGGCCGTCGCCACGAACTGACGGACACGGCACGCGCTTCGGTGTTGGTCGAACCCTGGAGGGGATGCCGGAGCGTTGCACTGCCCTTGAGAGACCGGTGCAGGCAGGTGACTGGCCGCACCTCCGGAAAAGGCAGCTCGGCGCGCGCATCGGCACGGAATTGCGCACATCGGCCGACGGGGCTGCAATGCACAGAGACGAACGGCTGGAGAGAAACAGGCCGGGTGATTGTGCGGCTGCTGGGCATGTGCGGCAGAACCGGCGGTGCGGGGCGGGTTTCTGGCGCGCGCTTCGCTTCTGGGAGGCGCCCAGGCGCCCGCGGCGTGACGTAGCCGAGGCGGGACCCCTACGCTGACTTTGTCACCGCACTCTCCTCCCGACCACCACGCACGCGTGATCACCCTCTCGCTCATCTCTTTCAGCATCTTGTCATCTTCCCTTCGTTCTGCTTGATATAGACACATGGCAGGGGGAAAGAACCGCAAGAAGATCACCAAAATGTTCTCTCCGCCCACCACCTCCCCGCCGCTCGCGAACGGCCATGCCCCGCCGTTGGCCGAGAGCACAGG